TAGCGGAGTGGCCATGTTTATCCTGTAACAGCAGCAAGAAAACTGGTGCCATCTTACTCAAACTTCGATCACATGGCAACAATAGTAACAACTATAAGCACACATGATCAGAAGGCAGTATGACAAAGCTAAATATATGTTATGGCGAAAGTGATGTAATTTTCGACATACCTCTTTATATATATATATATATATATATATATATATATATATAATTATTCATTTAAAAATATGATTCCATCGCTACATAAAGAGTTCTCATGTTTGAAAACAAGACCGAAATCTTCAATATAATTATTTGAATTCAATTAATTATATTGAAGCTAATTTAATCTTGTTTTGAAACATGAGAACTCTTATGTAGCGATGGAATCATATTTTTAAATAAATAATTATATTTAGGCTCTACATTTGTATCGAGCACTATTTTTTAAAAATAATAACAAAAATACTAAAGGACTTTGGATTATTTATCTAACGAGTTCTTTCCTATTTTCTATATATTTTTACACACACACACACACACGCGCGCACACACACACACACACACATACATATATATATATATATATATATATACACAAAAAAAATACAATTTATAAAAGGTATTTATAAATAACTATTTGCGAGTTGCAATTTCGATTGTGTGGCCGCCCATGAGAAATGTATCTTTTATATATTATTTTTGTATATTTTTTATATTTTACATTGAGCACTGAGTTTTTGTAGCGCCCTTTTATTACTTGTTATATAAAAAAATATCCAGGAAATCTATTTTTAATGTTGAATTCGTAAGTCAATTGCATCACTAAGTTATTTTCAAAGGTTTGTTTAAGGGGATTTAAGTCGTCTCTGTTTTCCATTAACGTGAAAATATCATCAATACATCTTACTTATTATAAAATGCAGATTGTCTGTGTGTGTGTGTGTGTGTGTGTCTGTACGTTTATATATTGGATCGAATTTCCTATATTTTTCAACCAATTTCAACAAAACTTCATAGGACTACGTAAAATTACCTTGCGGTGGTTCTGATAGCGCCAAAAATTGGAAAAACACAATTGTTTTTGCACAAAATCAGTTTGAAAACACGATTAAGCGGCATCACAAGAATGAAAGGGGACAACTCATATAAAGTTATACTTATTATAAAACCCAGGTTGTTTGTGTGTGTGTGTGTGTTTGTTTATATATGGGATCGGATTTCCTACATTTTTCAACCGATTTCAACAAAACTTCACTTTTTTTTGGCAGGTAGTGTTTCTTATTGTCTTGCACACTTTTTTCTTTATTTTTACATTCAGAATGCTTTAAAAATTCCATTTACAAGACAATTGTTTATAATAAAATTCTATTCAATCGGTAGATCCATAACGATTGAAAACAATGTTTTTGTTTGAGTTTGGGTTTGACCAATTCGTAAAAAAAAAAAAAAAAACTAATTAAGACATACGTGTCCGTCAACCTTAAACAATAATCTTTGTCAATTTTATTTTTCAGTCTTTATGATGGTCGATACTTGATCTATCTCTTACTGTTACATCCCCGGGCAACGCCGGGCTCTACTGCTAGTCTGGTATATATTGACGGTTTGAAAATTATTTAAGATCTTGTTTTCTATATTATTCATGCTAAACTTAAAGCCTGTTTCTCTCTTTCTCTCTCTCTCCCTCTCTCTCCCTCCCACCTCTCTCCCTCCCACCTCTCTCTCTGTCTCTCTCTCTCTCTTCCTATATATGACGATCACAACATTATCAAGACGTCTTACACTTCATTAGCTGAATACAAGCTCTAATGCACATCTAAAAACACATTCATGTCCACCTTCACAATACAGGAGAATATTTGTTGACAACACCAATATTATTACACTAAAAAACAACAAACAAAAACTTCTTGGGGCTCTCTATATGATAATCAATCAACCAACACTCGACAAAAACTATTACAAATATAGCAACAACGTATAAAGTGCATATAACAAGAATTTAATGCTATTTTACATTCCTAAAAATTTCTGGTCAGCTCCCTTATATTGGGACGCTTGTTTTGCAAAAAGTCTATAACTACAACGGATAAATTTAAAATTTTCAAATTACTATGAGAGAGCGCGTTTGAGCGTGTTTTTAAAAATCACCTTCACAACGGAATGCAAACTTTATTGTAGTTCCAATAAATCTGTCTTTGTAATTTACCCCTGAAGATAACCTTGGAAAATATCGAAAGTATCTGGGTTAGAAAAAACTACGGTGCCTTCCTCGATGGATTTCATGTTAACACCAAGAAACTGATTAGACAACTGGAAAGGACCTATAAAAATAAGTAGACACAATCACAATATGTCTGTATTATTCAATATATATATATATATATATATATATATATATATATATATATATATATATATATATATATATAGAGAGAGAGAGAGAGAGAGAGAGAGAGAGAGAGAGAGGAGGCACGGTGGAGTAATGGATAGCGGCTTGGATTGAGGAATTGGAGAGCCGAGTTCAAATTCCAGTCGAATCCATTACATTCACTTATTTGCTAATACCCTTGGGAAAGGCGTGAATCTTCTTCTTCTCCCTCCAGCTATGGGTAAAATAGCAGAACAGACTAGGTTCTATAGCCTTGGATGACAACTGGCCTAGGAGAAGGACAACTCTGAATTCAAAACCTGCGGAGGGTCGTTTGGGAACCTTGTGGCATTCGGTGCACCAGGTCTCTGTATTCGTCCCTTCAAAAAGTGTAGATGGTCCTGCACGAAGCCTTCACCACTATAATCAAATCTCATGTGCCGGTGACGGGCTGTCAGTTTCCTGGAAACTGATCTGCTTGACCCTCATATGTCGAATCTCGACGGGAGAGTCGACTATATATATATATATATATATATATATATATATATATATATATATATATATATATATATATGAAATGGATTAAGTCCAACAATTATTTAATATATTTTCTGTTTAAACGTTATTTTAAACAGATACAATTTATTTAAGTAAAACCTTCGTTTTTTTTTAATTTAACAGTACTTAATAGCCAGAATATTCGAGAAATTTCGTAGAAAATATGTGCTTCTCCGACATGAATCAAACCTATAACCCCAAAAGGAACCATCATTTGATCTGATGTGCTGTGAACCATTCAGCTACAAAGAAGCGCCTGGTTGACAAAGTCCGAATTACTGTTTATAAATAACAGATCTTTGACGAACGATCATATCTGCTCACGAAACGTACCTTAACGTAAACATTGAGAACATGAAATATATATATATATATATATATATATATATATATATATATATATATATATGTGTGTGTGTATGTGTGTGTGTGTGTGTGTGTGTGTGCTCATAGATGTGTAATTGTTGGTATTTGAAAAGAGATAGATGGCAATCAGTTGAAAATGATTACGGTGGTCGGTAAAGATCAAAAGAAAGTTGCGATGTTACATTTAAGTATTGTAAAATCCAACTGACTTCAAAACAAAAACGGGAAATGCCAATAAATCACATCAACATTTTCCCTTTCATTCACCTCCGTTGATTTTTCTTTTTATTCTGGTTCCGGTCCTCCCCACTCTCTTCTAGGTTAAAAATTGCCCGCCACCCCCGCCACAAAGTGTAGAAGCTCATGCTTCCTACCAACGTCGCTCCAGTCACACTTTCACAAATGAATGAAAAAAAAATCCGTTTGGAAACGAAACATCTGAGAATAGGATCAACATTGTAGCCGTCGTTTACTGAATTGATTTATTGTTATGGTTTACGAGCGGTAGAACAAAAATATTTTAGGATGAAAAGTAAACAAATAAAAGGCTGAAACAAAAAAACAACAAAATTGCGATTATAGATTTTGATAAAAAAAATAATCATAAAGTCCTCTTATTTAATATTATCATATTTCATTTTTCTCCACAACTCTTCACGCTTTCAAAGAAAGAGCAATAACAGCTACTGGACTTAAAAAAAACTATTTTACTGAAAATTATTTTAATAGGAGTAGATAGGTTTTCCTATCGCCAGGTTCATACTCCTCCTCAGTCTTTTGAACAGGATTAAAGGTTTATTCCTTGCTTTCTGTTTAGAATTGTGATTCCGGTTCCTTCTAAAGTCTACTTCAACTTTATACCTCTAACGTTTCCATATGAACTCTGTAGCTAAATGGTGTAGCACGTCAGGCTATATGGCGCCCCATGTAGGATACAGGTTCGATTCCTATCGGAGAACAGATATATTCTACAAGGTTCCTCGTACATTCAGGCCGGTAAATGTAGTTAATATTATTTATTGTAAACAGAGCATTTACTTAAATATCTGTACCTATATAAAATAACGTATAAAGAGAAAATATATTAAAATAAGTTTTAAAAAGGTGGAACTGCAGAGAGGAAAACTGGATCAGGGGATCACAGCAGGAAAAGAGATCATCATTTCAACTAAAGGGATCAATTAGAAAAGTTGCAAATCAATCAATACGACGCTTGGCACATGAGTTTCAGCCATAACAGTCCAAAGAGCAGTGAAAATAGACTTGAAAATGAAATTGTACGTGAAACGTGTAAGACAACTTCTTACTTCGGGATAGAAAGTTAGAAGGTTAGAGAGGGCAACGATCATCTTGGATAAGTTGGGAAATGATCCTGATATATATATATATATATATGAACTTTATGCCAATCCTTCATGAGCTTCCGATCCTTACCTATGATTAATTAATGATGAACATGACATTTTTATTTATGATCGATTTCATCACGATATTTTACTGCTCAAAGTAAAGTCCAATAGTGTTATAAAAACCTCGGAGAATTCCAGTAAGATATCTTTAATCATTTCTAAGATACAACGGTTCAAATCTTAATCTAACAATTGGACAATTTTGCTGTTATACGATTTGGGCAATTTTGCTGTTACACTCGGTATACAGAACTTATTTTACGCAAAAATGTATATTTTTCAACATGACCTCATTTTATCCTAGGCTTACGGCCATATGTTAAAACATCGATTCTCGTACAGTTCACCGAAGTTAAGAAACGTAGAGCCTGATCAGTAACTAGATGGGTGACCGCTTGCGAATAACAGGTGCTGTAAGTTTGGATATGTTGCTGGCGTAATGGATAATCGTAACGGCTCGAAATTGGAAATCGGAGAGCCGTGTTCCAATTCCAGTCGGCGTCATTATATTCATTCCCGTGCAAATATCGTCTTTTTCTATAGGTTATTAGGACTTGTGTCACGAAATCGTTATCTCCAAAAAAAATCTTACAATCAGAAATTATTTTCTGGCTTTACATTACCTGAAAATAATTAATAAACCGTAAAAATCAAATTAATAAATCTTTTTTATCCTTGTCAATGCACTTAATCTATATGTATTTATGTATCGAATAGCAGACCAAGAAAATGACAAACGAAAGGAAAAATTCTTTAGTAACGTGTTTCCTTTCAAGTTCCTCAATGTGTTTCGTGTGAAATTCGACTGTTTAGTTTTAGAGAGGCTTCGTGTGCAGATAGATTTTTTAGATTTAGCCAAGAAATTACCCCATAATATTTCATATAACTAGATTGAATCTTCAGCTTTTGTCCAAAAGTTAAATTAATATATTTAAATATCTTCACAGTCCATTTTCTCATCTTATGTCGAGTCTTTGGGCAAAACGTCACAGGCGTGTTATGTTCATCCTCGCTACAGTGACTTTCTTTGTGCCATATGCTTTTTCCCCAAAACTAAAGTGGCTTTTAAAAGTGAACGGATTTTAGAACGTTGAAGGGATTATGAAGAACGCAGTATAGAAAATAATAACGACAATTTTACAAACTCAAGGCGACTAAGATGTTACCTCATTAGGCAGGCTACATCCTTGTTAATAAGACACGGATGGATCATATTCAGACAAATCTTGTAGATAGATAGATAGATAGATAGATAGATAGATAGATAGATAGGGAAAATTTGACACACTCACACACTTATAATGAGAGGAAGAGAGAGCTGATGGAATAAGATGAACTGAATGGGATAGATAGATAGATAGATAGATAGATAGATAGATAGATAGATAGATAAGAAGAGGCACAGATAGATAGATAGATAGATAGATAGATAGATAGATAGATAGATAGATAGAAACTGACGTGTATAAAACCAATGAAAACAAAACAAATAGAATTTTAAAAATTGAACTCTAACCTGAAATCATTCTATTACCAAAATTTCTGATGAAGCTCAATAAATAGCGAATTATTCAAAATTCTTAGAGTTTTTCTACTTGTTCCTTATTTAATAATTTTGACGGATTTTATCCATATTTTAAACTCATAGATAGATAGATAGATAGATAGATAGATAGATAGATAGATAGACTGAGAGAGAGAGAGAAAGATATGAACTGATGGGAAAGATTTATAGATGGACATTCAAGAACAGACTTTAGATAGCTATCTATCTATCTATCTATCTATCTATCTAGATAGATAGATAGATAGATAGAGAGAGAGAGAGAGAGGGAGAGATAGATATGAACTGACTGGGAAAGATTTATAGATGGACATTCAAGAACAGACTATAGATAGATAGATAGAGAGAGAGAGAGAGAGAGAGAGAGAGAGAGAGAGAGAGAGAAAGAAAGAGAGAGAGAGATGAACTGACTGGGAAAGATTTATAGATGGACATTTAAGAACAGACTTTAGATCTATAGATAGATAGATAGATAGATAGATAGATAGATAGATAGATAGATAGAGAGAGAGAGAGAGAAAGATATGAACTGAATGGGAAAGATATATAGATGGACATTCAAAAACTGACTTTAGATAGATAGATAGATAGATAGATAGATAGATAGATAGATAGATATTAGAAATCGCAAATAAAAACAATATTAACAAAATATTAAGAAAGTAGAAAAACTCATCGACATGTAAAATTTGAAAAAATGCTGTCGAGTAAATGACATCGAAGTTTATGCGAAGATTTCTCTGCATTCGGGTGAATGTCTATAACAAAGAAGAAAGCGAGCGTGAAAAGAAATGGCAAAGAATAGAACGAAATGTGACCATAACCTACAAAGACAAATGGTTGAATGTCGAAGAGAAGACGTTTGACGCCGATTCTGCCGCTCTTCGCGTTTGAATTAATTGCAATGCAATACAAAGTAGATTTTCTTCCGTTTCCCGCATTTGGAAAAGAAATGGCGTCCGCAATGAACGAAGAAAAGCGTTAGATTTGACGCAAAATATAAAAACTTCCACAATAAGATTTCGATAAATGGGTGTGTTCTATTGATCCAATTATATTAGTATTGGAATCTCTATTCATACATAGACACATGCAGACATAAAGAATATATAGGAGCATTCATTGTCCAAATCGTGTAACAACAAAATTCTCCTGTTGTTAGATTAATATTTGAACCGTTGTATCTTAGAAATGATTAAAGATATCTTACTGGAATTCTCCGAGGTTTTTATAAAACTATTGAACTATACTGTGAACATTAAGAATGTATTTAGATCTAAGTTGAAATGATGATCCCTGGTGCTGTTTTGACCTCCTGATCACGTTTTCCTTTCTACTGATCCCTCTTTTTTAAAACTTATTCACCGTTCTCTTGATGGATCTTGAATAAACTTTGAAGATGGAAGCCAGAGTATGAATGTTGGTACCATTACTGAAAGCCTGAATGATCATTTTCCTCTCACCATTGCTCAGTTGGAAGGGCATAGTGGGGCTGGCACAAAACGATTTTAATCTGTTCTCTTTCTAGCTGAATAACTGAAACACACCCACACACGCAACCTCACCACGCTAGGTGTTTCTGCTCTTGTTTCAGTAACAGGTACACTGAAGCAGATAGATTAGACCAGGTAATGTTGAAAGGACATTATTATATATATATATATATATATATATATATATATATATAATCCGAACCTCGGCAGAGAAAAAACAACGACGAATATTGGATGAAATTTGTTTAGCTATTTTGTCACATTGCGTTTAGTGGGACAAAAAGAGTCCCAACGCGTCTACAACCCTGAGAAAGTTTCTCGAAAACCAACTTTCGCAGGGTTGTATACGCTTTGGGACTCTTTTTGCAAGAACACCTATTAAATAACAGAGATTGTGCAGCCAAATTTAGTGTCGACTGGTTCATAGTGTTGTCCCTGTCACACTCTTTATTTCATCTTAAGGTTCTGGAGGCACTTTACATCGGGTCCCTTAAGCCTTCTTTGTGTAAACAACGTGAGTGTTTGTTGGGGCTCGCTGTCATTTGTCTCTAGTTCCTTTTGGTAATTTTTTTTTCTACAACTTCCATTTATTGTACATTTTTCTGTGTTTAATTTTAAATTAAATCTCCCGTTGAAGCCTGAAGAGTGGGAGCGAAACAGGTTGCTTCGCCCGTTTTTAAAATGTCTCGTAATATTAAGTTTTACACTTTTATTTCGATCATATATATATATATATATATATGATATATGGTATATGGTATATGTTGTAACGTCTTCCTTTAATGTAGTTCTTATCGTTCACCCCTTAGCCACCTTTATCTAGAGACGAGACGCGTTAAATTTGAGCAACATCCAGCCGACACACTGGGGTTAAAATAGGAAACAAAAAATGATACATATGACACACTCATATCCTCTCTCCCACCTCACTTCCTCACTTCGTTAATTTTACGTATACTTTATGAGGTCCGTCAAAAACGTGTGAATTTCTTTTCATTTTTCATTTCAGCTTTTGGAAGTAAAGTCTGATGATCAAGAACCTTGTTAAAGGGGTTATGGTGAAATAGCTTATTACATGGAATCTTAACGTGGTCTGTCTTTTATTCAAACATATCTGCTCTGAATTTTACATTGAGCTCTCTGGATATCATCCTCCTCAGGTCTACCTATACGGATTACCTAAATTTGCATAAACTAAAATATATATATATATATATATATATATATATATATATATATATATATATATAGCGTTTATGCTGCTAACTTGAAAAATTTTAAATTTTAAATGATCATTCACTCATAGATGAAATAGATTTTAGCATCATTTGGTAATAAAGACCTTACACTTAAAAAGCTTTTTCTTGCCACGTGCATGCCTATAGCGAAACAACTTTTATTGATAGTGGTTTTCATTCTTTTTGTATAAAGGACATTCAACATTTGTAATCGTTTTTTTTTTCTTTTTTTTTTTTGTGTGGAAGAGTACACTTATATGTATACAATAATTTTCATTATTAACTGATTCGATTCTGGATTTTATAACGTTCTTCCATATTTGTATAACATTCTTCCCTGTATTTCATCTTTAATACTGATTCCATCCATCGTTGAATGAATGTTGAATGAAGACTAATGAAGAAAGACCATACGCATGATGGACACGACCAACCACAATTTTAGCGCATCATAATTCTTAACATATCTAATTGTATACAGGCGTTCGAATGAATGAATCAATGGAACTATTGTGATGACAACTGAAAACAAGTAAATAAATTAATTGAAGAAGCAATTTGCGTGCTTGATTTAAATGACTTTTCTCAAAGTTACAGACAGTACCTCTTCTTATGAAGTTGATATGCTGGCTTCTTATGTCACTGAATTGTATCAGAAGAAAGAAAGAAAGAAAGAAAGATGATAGACTGTAAACAATAGAAAATAAATAAATAAATAAAAGAAAACTTTACACTATAAACAACAGAAAAGAAACACAGAAAAGAAAGAGTGAAGGGTGACACACTATAAACAACAGGAAAGAAAGAAAAAGAAAGGAAGGAAAATGATACACTATAAAAATAAGAAAGAAAGAAGGATGATACATTATAAACAAAAGAAAGAAAGAAAGAAGGATTATAAACTATAAACAATAGGAAAGAAGGAAAGAAAGAAAGGAAAGAAGATGATACGCGATAACAATAGAAAAGAAAGAAAGAAAGAAAGATGACACTATCTACAGTAAGAAAGAAAAAAGAAAGAATGAAGGATGATACGCTATAAACACTAGGAAAGAAAGAAAGAAAGAAAGAAAGAAAGAAAGAATAAACACTAAACAATAGCAAAGAAAGAGAAAGAAAGAAAGAAAGAAAGAAAGAAAGGAAGGCGGATGACATATAAACAACAGAAAAGAAAGAAAGAAGGATGATACGCTATAAACACTAAAAAAGAAAGAAAAGAAAGGAAGAAAAAGAAAGAAAAAAAAGAAAGAATAAACACTAAACAATAGCAAAAGAAAGAAAGAAGGATGATACGCTATAAACACTAAGAAAGAAAGAAAGAAAGAAAGAAAGAAAGAAAGAAAGAAAGGCGGATGACATATAAACAACAGAAAAGAAAGAAAGAAGGATGATACGCTATAAACACTAAAAAAGAAAGAAAGAAAGGAAGAAAAAAGAAAGAAAAAAAGAAAGAATAAACACTAAACAATAGCAAAGAAAGAAAGAAGGATGATACGCTATAAACACTAAGAAAGAAAGAAAGAAAGAAAGAAAGAAAGAAAGAAAGAAAGAAAGAAAGGCAGATGACATATTATAAACAGCAGAAAAGAAAGAAAGAAGGATGATACGCTATAAACACTAAAAAAGAAAGAAAGAAAGAAAGAATAAACACTAAACAATAGCAAAGAAAGAGAAAGAAAGAAAGAAAAGAAGGCAGATGACATATTATAAACAATAGAAAAGAAAGAAATAACACAAAATATAGAGAGGTGAACAATAAAAGGGGAAGAGAGAGCAAGATGAAGAGAGAAATAAAGAGACAATGAGAATGATTGAAAGAGAGGTATACTTGAGCAGATAAACAGGAAGAAGGTCGATAGGAAAATGAGGCAGGGATTGTAGAGGAGAAAACCACAAGAAGCTCTCTGGGACCGGAAGTGATGTGCAAACCGACTGTACGAGATGAGCCGAGATTGGCAAATTGACAGACACGAGGACAGTTGTAAATATCCAGATAAATTAACAACAAAACTAAAGCGCAAAAGTGGGCAGCGATTAAAAAGCATCCAAGGGCACTTCGTCAATCTCCACAGATCAAGACGATCTCCCTTTTTCGACTTCCGGATGTTGTGCGCTCGAGAATCTGTCACCACACTAATTCGCTGGACTCGATGGCACACTCGCCTTCCGGACTGATACTATCAAGCTGGCTAAAATGAAGAAGCATCAGAGAGAAAGAGAGAGATAGAGGTGGGGGGGGCGAGAAAGAGAGAGTGAAAGGAAGAGAGAGAGCGGGATGGGGGAGAGAAATGCAAAGAGAAAGATACAGAGTTGAGCTAGGGGCTGATAAGTGAAGGTAAGATATCATAAAAGAGAAAAGTTAGACGGAGGGAATGATAAAAATAGCAAAAAATAAACGTAATAAGAAAGAAAGTAAGGTGAAAGAAAGAAAGAAAGAAAGAAAGAAAGAAAGAAAGAAAGAAAGAAAGCAAGCAAGCAAGAAAGAAGTTATTCACAATAATACAACAAAAGCCCAAACTAGAACAGAGAGTGACTGAAAAATAAAATGATGGAGGCAAAAAAAAAAGAAATATAAAAAAAGAAATAAGCTGGGATCTATCTATCTATCTATCTATCTATCTATCTATCTATCTATCTATCTATCTATCTATCTATCTATCTGTTCCTCGATCTATCTAGCTAGCTAGCTAGTTAGCTATCTATCTATCTATCTATCTATCTATCTATCTGTTTCTCGATCTATCTATCTAGCTAGCTAGCTAGCTAGCTATCTGTTTCCCAATCTATCTATCTATCTATCTATCTATCTGTTTCTCGATCTATCTATCTAGCTAGCTAGCTATCTGTTTCTCAATCTATCTATCTATCTGTTTCTCAATCTATCTATCTATCTATCTATCTATCTATCTATCTATCTATCTATCTATCTGTTTCTCAATCTATCTATCTATCTAAAGCATAGGTACTTCGGTGTGGTGTAACGATTAGCCAGCTTGTCTTGCTAGATCAATTACG